GGGTCGGCAACCTGCGGCTCGCGAGCCGCATGCGGCTCCTTTGATGTCAAGATGCGGCTCTTCAGCTCCATGCACAAATATTAATACTTATTTTAATTTATTTTTAAAACTCATAAAAATATTAGTCTGCAATACTCGGTAATTAAAGATTTAGATCTAATAACAATGTAAAGTTTCTAATTTCGAGCAGAGCTTGCTAAACTACTTTAATATGTTTTGTGTGAAACATGTGTATGTTTTTATATGAATAAATATTATTTCATATTTTAAGCTATTTATTATATATATATATATATATACATATATATATATATATTATCATAATATTGAAATGAAAATGTTTGTGGCTCTTTAAAAACTTTGAAATGTGGTAAATTGTAATTTTTGGCTCTTCCGTCCCAAAAGGTTGCCGACCCCTGACTTACACTCATGACATGATGTTGTAATTTGTTTTAATAAAAAAAAATCACGTATTTCTCATAACACGAACAGGCCAGCATGAATAAGTATCCTATGTTCGTATGTTGTGTTTGAGTATATATATATATATATATATATATATATATATATATATATATATATATATATATACATATATAGGCCTATATATTTATATGGGGGGGGGCCTAAAAAATTTTTTTGCGGGGTGGCCCCTGTTTTCTAGTTCCGCCACTGGTGTAGGTATAGCCGGAGTTTAATCGACTCTATTTTTACGTTAACATACTGTAATGTAACTGTTTGTTTATGGACAACGGGTAGGATTGAGTAGTAAGGGTTGGTCTAGTGTTTATTAAAATAAAGAAAAGAGCTGATTTTTATGAACAGTTCGGCGGAATGTCAATACTCTACTAGGTGAAGAGAACCATATTGGATGAAAAGGATAAGCTGCCTATTCCTCACCGCATCGTACAAAGCCGTTTACCATATCGTAAAGCAGGGTAAACCACAAACCATTAGGGAAACACTCATAACATCGTCTGTGTTGATGTTGGGGAATATCTTGATGGAAAAGCAGCATAAATTAAAGTATTCCCAATTTCTCCCCAATTGACATAGGTGACAGAATAGAGGACACGAGCTAAGACTTCCAGGCTCAACTAGTCGCAGATCTATTATCATTATAATACTATTTATAAGTAGTTCTATTTACATTTCGACTGAAACAATTTTTAACGAGCAAATCATTTTAACACACCCTCAAGCAATAGACCTACACACCTCGACCTGTGCTATCATAGAGCTGCTCAAGTGATTAGGAAAAAACGATGATATGTGCATTATCCCTGTTAGACCTTATCGATGCTAAATATAGATGTTGCCATAGCTCTAGTGATGAGAAAAAGATGCAAAATAAACCTCGATAAACAGATCATACACACACACATACACATACATAGAAATACACATACATACACACTCAGGCCAACACACACACACACACACACACACACACACAATAAAACAGGCTTCGTTTTGATATAATTTCTAAACTTTTTGTACCTCATACAATCTCTACACATATTAGTTAATAAAAAAAATATTTCATTAATGTATTTTTTTACCGGCCTTTTTTCTAGTTTTTCAATTCGATTAAATCATTTTTTCCAGTGGCGTAGCTACCGTTAAGCTAGCGTAAGCAAGGCATATGGGCCCAAGGCAAATAGGAGCCCTTTTTCATCTTTGAATACTTATACTGAAAGTGCAAATCGAAAGCCTGGGGCGGGGGGGGGGGGGAGGATGCAAGTCGAAAGTTTGTCCCCAGTAGCCGGGAAGGATCGCTACGCCTGCAAGGGGCACACTAACACTTTTTGCATAGGGGCCCAAAAATCCTAGCTACGCCACTGATTTTTTCCACTTACAATTTCATTTTATCAAGTCGCAAATATTGTAGACAAACTTATGTTATTTTATTAGGTATAAACGTTGTGTTGGGTAAAGTGTATTGTATGGCGGCCATTTTAATGTGTTGTATCACAGTGGAATGAGGTTTTTAGGATGCGTACATGACATCCAACAAGGAACAGTGTCATGCCACAGGAAATCGAAGCAATCCTAACAATTTACTTGACGAACAAGGTAGACAATTTTACTATGCATATTCCTTGCCATACAGCTCGCACCCAGAGAATCTCTTTGGATATACATCGGTGTTGCACTCACTGACACTAGTAAAAAAAAGCCGGTCCTATTTTGTTTTTTGTAGTCGTCTAATCGTGTCTGACTTATTTTTCTCTTTCTGATAGAGCTGTCTCTATTGTCTGCATGTTAATATATATTGTCTTGAATTCCCCTAACATACTTGTTACATCATCTTAGGCTGGCCTGGACTTTAATCTCAATTTGTGGGCGGCAGAGAAAACGTGTTAAATTGTGTTTAAAATTTCAGTTGTAAACATAAAAATACATTGTTTTGTATCAAAGAAACCAAACGGTACGGGCATTTGATACCGTGTACAATAGCGTGTCACCTTGTATGCTTCCCTAGCTTGGCACTGTTGTATTAATAGCCACTTTTAGACTCTTTATGTAAGGTTTAAACGACACGAGTTGACGACTTCATTGGTGCTGATTCGGTAGCAACTCTTTTGGTATTGTTTTTATTGATGTTTGCTATAACGTTGACAAAACAATTATGGATCTGAAATTAAATTGAAGAAAGACAACCATGAAATTCTATTGAATGTGAAATAATTTCATTGTTATTTCCCTTTGACCATGGCTCTTTATTCGTGCAGAGCTTACAGTACAGCGCCAACTAAAGGCACCTATACTAAATGACCAAAAATAAAACAAAACATTAAGAAGATTTCATATTTTGGAACACAATTTATACAATATATAAATGCCCCTATAATACGATGGAGGTTAATATATTCCTGTGTTTAGCTTAGAGAGATTTACCGACATAAACTATTGACATTGCAGGAAAAAAAGAAAGATAATCGTGAAAATCGTGTCTCTTAAAATATTTTTATTGTTGTTTCCCTTTGACTGTAAGCGTTTTTACTTTCTCGTATACTGAGTATAATATAATCGATTTACACCTCAGTAATTCATTATATACGGAGTATAAGGAATTTATTTTAATCGGGAAAAAAATACATGCAGATTCATCAAATTTTCGGTGTTCTATGCATAATTAATTCGGAAAAACTGGGCTTTGCAATTGTGTCCGTATGTCTATGTGTGCTTAAGCGTCTCTGTAAACATGATAACTTGAATACCGATACAGCTAGGTTGATGAAATTGCATGTACAAGTATTAAATGGAATTTGTAGTTCTGTATGAACTTTTCAGCGATTTCCGGTAACCGAAAGTGGAACTTTTGTTTTTTAAAAAGCATATAACTTGGTTACTGTTTGAGATAGATAAAAGAAACTTCACATATGAGTAAAAGTTCTAATTCTCTGAGTAATTTCCATTGACCTTTAGCGATTTCCGGTAACCGAAAGTGGAACTTTTGGTTTTTCAAAAGCATATAACTTGATTACTGTTTGAGATAGATAAAAGAAATTTCACATATAAGTAAAAGTTCTAATTCTCTGAGTAATTTCCATTGACATGAAGCAGTAATTTACGCTATTTTCAGTTTCTCAAAAAAAAAAAAAGCAATGTGAATTTATAAACTACTAATAATATTCCGCACTATTATACACAGATTCTATTCTATTTTATAATATTAAGAAATTAAAAATGGATTAAAAATCATATTTATATCCCCCGTAGTGTTATATGAGAATATTCGAGAAAGTTTAGGGGAGATCATTCCCGGTTTATTTTTTTACAATTCAGTTTTCAAGTTATAAAATAAACATTACGCCTATCTAACCAAATGTCTTTTATATTTTTGATTGTACAGCTTTGATTAATATTGCATGTATGAAAATAGCTCTAAAATATTTTCTATAAAAAAAAATGCCCGTTTAATCTTTCAATTTTTTGTGAGCTCATTATGAACTGTTGGTTTTGTGACCATTAATCTTTGTTTGTAATGTTACAAATATTTACCAAGTTTTGACATAAAATCCAAGGAAGTATCGTTATCTTTTAAATGCGAAAGTCAATCTAGAAGATGAAATAGATTTAATCTATTTCTTTCAACATGGCTTATGAATTAATTGTGTGATCACAGCCGAGTATATATTTCTCGAATTTACTCAGGTACCCATCAGAGCTAGATGACTAGGAACGAGAGACTTAAATTTCAACATGCGAGTGTTCTTTCACCATTTGGTGAAAGTATTTAGAAGAAATAAGAATAAAGAAAATAGACAGGCGCTCCACTGGAGCCTGGACATGTACATGTTGTGTACCAGTACCTGGTCCAGGGGATATCATCATCATCATCATCACTATCATACCTCTCACGTCTGTGTGTCCATTGTCCTACAGAGACCTGTTTAGGACAGCCATGAGGATGTGACACTAAAACGGTCAACTTTTCCACATCAATAAATCTCCTGTATTTGTTATTGACTTCCCTACATAATTCTCTAAAGCGCCGCAACATCTTGCCCAGTTCATCAACCAACTCTAAGTCACATGTCACATATCTCAACCAACACAAGTCACTCTCAATGTCTGCCCCACCCACCTCCCAGCCATCAAGACTGACCACTGGACTTTTATTGTCATCAAAACCTAAAACACACCTGGTCTGTCTCGCCTCACTGGCATCAAACACCACGTGTGTTGCTGTCAACACATAAACCTTCCCCCACACTTTGCTGGGTGTGGCAGAGACTTGACACTTGGCACAACGACAAGTTCCGTAACTCTCGGTGTACTTGTACACACCATAACCCTCCCCGTCCCTAACCTCATCACGTGACTTCCTCTGTCATTACAACATGGATATGGAACTTGAGTGCCTGGGTAAAACTCTGGTCTCTCTAGACTGGTGAATTTAGTCTTTACCTGGACAGTTAGGGCTGCCAATGTTTTGATTGTCTCAGACATGAGGTCGTCGTCATGGAAACGTGAGGGGAGATAATTTGTGTTGAAATCTTTAAGAGGAATAAAACCTTTGTGACCTGGATTCTTCTTACAGCCATTAACATGTTTGTGTAGATCAGCTTCTCCTCCATAGCACATCTCAGCTTCATGATTTCCTACAGGAATAGGGGAACAGAATATTTAAAAAGTCTAAAATAGCTAAACAATGATTTTCAGATACCCTTTAAAATGATTCAATTTTCTTCATTTAATCAAGTATGAATTTACGATAATAAAGTCATCTATATGTTTTCACTAGCACATATTTATAGTAGCTTAAACCTGTTGCTTTATGTGTGTCATATTTCTCACCTGAATTAAAGACATATGTTTGGTCACTTTTGATAACTTTACTTAGACTCTCACAGTATGGCATGTCTAAAATAAAAGAAAAAGAAAACACATAAATTAACTTATAATTATAGTGACAAGAAGTGTGTCATTACTGAGATAAAATCTTATGGCTTGACTAATACACTCTCAAAGCTCAAAGTCCCGTAAAAAAGAAAGTACATTTTTGTAGAACTCATTAGGTATTTAAAATTAACTTTTACACTTATTGATACACATGTATGTTATTAAGAAATGGATCTTTAAAGTATTTGAATTTTAAAATATCATAATAGATTTTAAATGAGCTAAACATTTGGTCAATAAATCATTTAATATTTATTTGGCTCTACCTTCAGGCGTACCTGGTTGCCCCAAATTTCTTTTTCTCACTTTGTTTTGGGTTTTCGTGATTTGTGTTACTGCAGATATGAATATACATTATTAATACAAATAGAAACTAGGGCTTAATAATTGCGCTAATGAAGAATTTAAACAAAGAAACATTTGTAGGGTTATTTTTACATCTGTACATAAAAATTTCTCAAGTTTATGAAACAAATAGTAACTTATATTATATTATTATTTCATGTCACTAAATAGTGAAAAGGCTACATAAAATGTCTATCACAAAAAAATAAACTATGTGAATAAACAAAGCACATATGTATCTCGTTAATTATCGTAAAATTTGGGGAGGGGTGAGGAGTGAAGGGAGGTTGTGGTGGTAAAATCTTGAAAATGTACTATATCTAGATTGATATATTTTTAGCCATATTTTCTCTTGTTATCTACCAAACTAAGATTGCAGTAGAAAAAGGCCGAGGTATGTTTGTTCTCGTTATTTACCAACCTAAGATTGCAGTAGAAAATGACCGAGGTATGTTTGTTCTCGTTATTTACCAACCTAAGATTGCAGTAGAAAAAGGCCGAGTTATATTTGTTCTCGTTATTTACCAACCTAAGTTTGCAGTAGAAAAAGACCGAGGTATGTTTGTTCTGGTCCAAAATCAACAAGTCCTTGACCTGACACACACACTTGAATGAGGTCGCCGGTTTGCAGATAATATACCCCACCTGTAATGGTTACAATCAAATCATGGTGCCTTTATCAGAAGAGTTTTAGACCATTGTATGATTATTGGTTTTCTTCAAATAATTGCAAGAAATGTTTACGGAAAACATGTTTTTTTTTCAATAGACACTATATAGTATTTAGTTTTACCCGTGAAACCGAAAACGTCATTTAGTTCGCACAATTTTTACTACATGTAGCCAGCAAATACATTGCATTAACTTACTTGGTTTTTAAGAAAATAATGACTTAAAACATCTTACTTTTTAAACCCTAAAAATATTTATTGAAGTTTAATATTAATCTTGTTAGCATCTAGTACTAATTACTTATAAAGTCTATTAAGTAGCTAACACCAACTCGCCCACCTGTATAAGCAGTTTCTTGGCTGTTAGTACAGTTGTCACAAAGAGTGTGGACTGTCCTCAACAAGACACCAGATAAAACTGGGTTGTTGGCTGAGTGTCTGCGGACGTACTGAAACCACGTCTGGGAAAAAATATAACATTTAAGTAATATTTTGTAAATAAAAAGATTCATTAATGCCGTTTTAATTTTCAAAACCTTTTTTATAAGGTTCCTCAGTAAACGACGTTTTGGATTAGAGTTAACATGTCTCTATGTAATGAGAATGAGGCTTTAACTAATAAATAATTACACAGTACAAAGATCACAGTCTTCTTCTTTCTTTTTCGTCTTAGTTTTTAGTTTTGGAAGGGATCGAGCCTTTTCTGCCAGAGGGTTCGAAATCGAGACATGTTTTTTCGAATTTTAACAACCATTTTCATTGACGTCACGACAACGCCTCCAGCACAATTAAGTATAAGTTTCCCCTGGTTATGCGCCTTAATATCACATCGATTTAAATAACTAAAACAATTCTTTGATATATGTAAGTAATTTTACCTGGTATGTGAAATATGATGAAGACCGGGTTGTGTTAGGTTTAAAGTTTACGTTGCTGTATATAAAGTAGAAACCTAAATGGAACAATACAGCTGTATGAATAAACATTTTTTTCACATTGAAAATGTAATAAACCTAACAAACTACGTTTGCATTACTTCTAATAATAAGGATAAAACGAGTCTTACTCTAATCTAATACATGGAGAACTTTCTAGAACAGTTTATTTATCAACCAACCAGAAAATAATATTTTAATCCCTTCTTGTGTTATATCCACACCACTGTTTTGTTGAGTGAATCCCAATGTACTCTGGTCTATATATAGAACTGAATGCTGAGTCGGACTGAATATTGGATCTTAGGAGTAGAATTAAAAAGGATTGTACACGCATTATTTTTCTGAATATTCAAACTTGATATTAAAAGGCGGAGTTAATATAATACTATTTACGAAGTGTTTGTTTTATATTATAAATCATCGTAAGAATAGTTTATCAATGTGTTGAGAATTGAGTTGTAATACAGTGAATCACTTGTTGGAGAATTATTGTTAAGTAATCTACATAAGACGATTGCGTAATGAAGAGGTAAACCCAAATACCAATTGAATTCTCAGTTCCAGAAAACCTGGTTGACGGTCGAAGATAAACGTGAGCTTGCACTTGATCTGATTTGTTGATCTAAAAGTATGCGTAATCAATTCTAAAATAGATGATATATATGTAACACATATCATGGTTACCAGATAAGGGGGATATTTTATTTTATGCGTATTTTATTAAATATGTATTACTCTATGCGGTCTGCTGAATATATATATATATATATATATATATATATATATATATATATATATATATATATATATATATATATATATATGTATATATATATTAGGGTTAAGGTTAGAGTTAGGTCTAGCATTAGTTTGGACAAAAGTTAGTTTTAGGGTTAGAGCTAGAAAGAAAACTTAGTGCAATTCAAAATGACATCCTAGCTTTTGATGCAACAAAAAATATGTTTCTTCTGATTCATTTGTTCTCTCAAAAATGGTGCTAATTTTGCATTTCTTCTTTCATTTTTTTGACTGTTTGGCATTACATACTTTGCCTGGGCAGTTATTGTCAATTTATTTATTGACTAGCTATTTTTTGTTATGCAAATGACAAGGATATATCATTGCCGATATTTTATTTTTGATTGCGTAATGAAGAGGTAAACCCAAATACCAATTGAATTCTCAGTTCCAGAAAACCTGGTTGACGGTCGAAGATAAACGTGAGCTTGCACTTGATCTGATTTGTTGATCTAAAAGTATGCGTAATCAATTCTAAATAGATGATATATATGTAACACATATCATGGTTACCAGATAAGGGGGATATTTTATTTTATGCGTATTTTATTAAATATGTATTACTCTATGCGGTCTGCTGAATATATATATATATATATATATATATATATATATATATATATATATATATATATATATATATATATATATATATATATATTAGGGTTAAGGTTAGAGTTAGGTCTAGCATTAGTTTGGACAAAAGTTAGTTTTAGGGTTAGAGCTAGAAAGAAAACTTAGTGCAATTCAAAATGACATCCTAGCTTTTGATGCAACAAAAAATATGTTTCTTCTGATTCATTTGTTCTCTCAAAAATGGTGCTAATTTTGCATTTCTTCTTTCATTTTTTTGACTGTTTGGCATTACATACTTTGCCTGGGCAGTTATTGTCAATTTATTTATTGACTAGCTATTTTTTGTTATGCAAATGACAAGAATATATCATTGCCGATATTTTATTTTTGGTCTAAAAACGACAAAGACTATATACAAAGCCTCCGCATTCTGTATAACGCAATGTTATCACAATTGTCGGCAATACACACACAAACACATTATATATATATATATATATATATATATATATATATATATATATATATATATATATATATATATATATATATAATGTATGTATATACCTACCTCAAAATTAAGATTTCTCTCAATCGTAGTAGATTTGTTAAACACGTTCAGCGTAACATTTGTGAGAATTCTGAATTCCAACTGCATAATAATATTAGAAATCATTATAAAATATTCTGACAAATCGACAGAACAAATTATTTTGTAAGTAACGCCCCAGCACTATACTCACACAATTTCTCTGTATTTGTATACACACACTCAAGATTAGTCCTTTAAGAAATTAAAATTAAAAACTCATCATGCATGCAAGGGTAAAATAAACTTACTTTAAAACGTGTAACTGTTTTAATTGAATAAATAAAAACAGCCACGGATAATAATAGTGTGCTAAGCGAGATACTGAAACAATAGAAAATAATGTTTAATTATTATGTAATCATATTAATATTTAGGCAAGTATAGATTATATTAAAACTGTTTACTTCGTTCACTGAATTTTTACGCTTGCATATCACACTAAAATCATTGTTCTCGTTTTAATTTGAAAATATTTCTGACTCGAAGTTTAAATTCAGATTATTTAAATTGAAAATGTAAATATTTGCTAATATGATTATTTTTTTTTTAAGTTTGTGAAAAGAAGTGTTCATCTGGTAATACTTACATATAATATAATAGCATGATTTGTCATTATGATTTGAGGTGTATCACTATTGTACATTTTTTTCTCAATTTTTAACCTGCATAAAAATAAATTTCGTTTAATACATCGTTGACTAATTTATTTAAAAATTGTTTGCCTTAATTTTTACTTAACGAATAATTTGAGTGCATAACTACAGACATACGAATTTGCCTTGCATAAGTTTATAACAGCATTACAAGCAAGTGCAAATTAGAATTAAACTCACATTATACTATTACTTTTAAAACACGCCTAGGCTGTTAATAATCTGTTGCGAAAGCTGACTAATCCGACACCTTTTTCCAATGCGTCAAAAAATCTTTGAAAGGATTTTAATCGACGCATTGATGTTGAAAAGGATGTTAGAGAGCAAGCAGTCTTGCATGGGGCCTAACGTTGTTCTAAACCTGACTTTAAGAGAACCACTTGACCTGATCTTTTCCTGCATTCGTAAAATGGTAACTCTTAGCTACCCGCAATTTTACACTTGACCATAAAGGATATACAGACTGCAATAATGATAACTTTTATCCTCGTTATCACTTACGGTTTTAACATTTACACTTAGCTTAAAGCAAACAGACCCCGAGCTTTACAATATGTAATGTAAAATACTGCATACTACAAGCTCTTAGAATTATTTTCATAAAAGCAGGGCATTAACTCATGTCAAGTATTGTCTCGGGTCATTTCCGTCTCCATACATTGCCCCTAAGTCAAATGCCTCCGTGTATTGCCTGAAGATTACTCCATTTTTAAAAACCTGGATGTGGACCATAGCTCATAACTTCTAACCTTTTATCATATTTATTATAATTACGTCTGACACTGACAGGCTCTAACTGACAACGATCTTCGTAACATAGAAATAGACTGCTAATGGTAATGAACAAGTGACTCATATCGTCCATATTTGGAAATAAAATAATACTTTATGACCACATAGATATTTTGTAAACATTGTCTGCTTCCAAATACTTGTATTGTCTTTTTTGTCCAATCATTAGTCGATTGCTGTTGATATTGTAATATTGATAGCTAGGAACCTAGATGTTTCTTGCAATTATGATTTTAATACATTTTTTTATAAAATAAATAGAGAGTAGCGTAATTGGTTGGGTTTGATAGATCAATAATTAGGTATTGACCCTTGAGAAGTTGACAGTTTGTTTTAGACATAATCTTTAAGGAAAAGCCTAAATAAATTAGCAATTCTAAGTTGATGTAAGTAATAAAGTTAGGATGGTTTTAAGTGTTTACTCTTTTTCTCGAATATCAACTGTTTATTGTTGTATCTGCCTCTACACAACAAGTTATGGGTCATGCAATTTACAATGCCGATACCATCACACAAGAAGAGATTTATTCGTGGTAAGCAATGGTAACAAATACAACGGTACAGCTAGAAAAACCGAAATATAACTTAAAAAGACGCAACTGTATTGATGAATGTACATATTCATTTGGAACCATTTTTTTCTATGGAGTGATGAGGCACCATAGTCAGCTATGTATCAGCTGCAGAGTTATCTCCAGGAAAATGGTTCACCATAGGTCACGTGTCTTTTGGAAACTCTTGCAGCCTAGAAGCTTCAATCAATATTTCGGAAGCATACAGCAGCTTATTATCATCTCTCATATCTTCTGATTCAGTGTAGTGAAGATGTAGGACCAGCTCATTTCATCAATTGAGTCACCATCTTTTGGTAACTCCTCGAGGAGACGCTGATTCTGTTTTCCATATAGATAAGTTTGTGATGACAGGACATCTAGAAAACAAAAATATACTATAAGTATTTGGTAATGATATTTAAACAAAGTGCCAACTTACTTCTAAATATACAAATACATAAATATCATTTTATTGTCCATTTCGATCATTTATAATCAAACTAATATATTGTACGTCAATCCACATCTAAAATAGGTAGTTTCCAAGAAATCCTAAAAAAATATTTGCTGTTTGTCATGACATTTCTCCTAAGCATTCGAATACACATTGATCTAAACAACATTTTGAGTAAAATGTTATAAATAAAAATCAAACACGCTTACCTGACTACTGAAGATGCAAATAAAAATATTTGGGCATGAAAAAACTTCAGTATTGAAATAAAACAAAGGAAAATTTAAGAAAACGTGTGCGAGATCTGTACAGAACGATTGTGAACTATCGATACAGGATAAAATTGAAAATTGCAACGCGAAAGATATAAAAAAAAACAACATCGAGCAGCATTGTGGAAGCGCTACTCCCCTAAATCACCTGCCCTATACTATTGCCTGGATTCAGCGTTAACTGTTTTATAAGATAAGAGCAGATTTAATTGAAGATAAAACAACGATAAATTATATAAAGGATTTTCTCTGCAACCTGTGAAAATAAGAGTTAACTTAAAATTAAACATACTGACGTGCTAAAACCTGATAATACAATTACATTTCAATTAATTGATTTGAAATTAAGTGAGTAAATAAAATTTCACAATGAGAATTACCCCGTTACGTTCTCAAGATCAATTGTGTTGTGAGCTCTCAGTGTTTCCAGAGAGGTTTAATTCTATCACAGACTATCTATTGTGATGTCAACAGTTTTATATAGTAGAAAAGTTGTACCAAGTACGACCCGCGTGACTAGTAGAGGGACTCTCAAACTTCAGCTTGTTGGGTGGATTGTTTTATAGTTGCTAGTTTCAGTGGTGTACGGCGGGTTAGAGCACACGTTTAACAACTAACAACACGTAAGCACAGTGGATAAAAGGTAAAGTTAAAAATACTCCATTTATATGGCAATATAATCTTTTACGGGACAATATCATAGAAACAGAAGTACGCAAGTGTCATTTGAAGTAGCAAGACTGTTCTCTAGCTCGCCTTCCAAATTTGCAACTTGCAACTAGCAACTACAAAACAATCGACCCAACAACCTAAAGCTTGAGAGTTTCTGTACTGTGTCACGCGGGTCGAACTTTGTACAGCTTTTCTACGTTATCAATATGTAATACATGGCTTAACTCTTCTCCATCTGCTTACGTATCATGTATATGCAATGTTGGTGATATATATATATATATATATATATATATATATATATATATATATATATATATATATATATATATATATATATATATATATATAGGCCTATATATGATATATAAATAGGCCTATATATGATAAATAATAGGCATATATATATAAGATATATATATATATATATATATATATATATATATATATATATATATATATATATATATATATATATATATATATATCTTATATATATATATATATAAAATCACAAAATACGAACATAGGATACTCATTGCTGGCCTGTTTGGGATTTGAAAAAAACATCAATTTAAAACATTTTCAACATGTTGTCATGTGTGTAAGTGCATTAGTGTGTTTTGTGAAAATCAGTTTTAATTAATTTCTGATAGAAGCCCTCTTAACATCTAGACGGTCAAAATAATATAAAACATTAAAGTTTTGTATAAGTAATGGTGTCTCGTGTTATGTTTTTTTTTAATGTTTTTTTTTATTGTATTTATATTATAAATTTTTAAAATATTATTGATTTAATACATTTCCTTTTTATACAATGTCATTTTTTAGTAATTACTTATAAAAAAAATAATAATTAAGAGAAGTAATTGCTTTTTAATTTGTTTAGTACCAATTTATTAAAAGGAGATTATGATCACCCCTATTTGACAATTTTTTTTGAAAAAGGGAAATTAGTCATGGAAGTGGTTTGAACATTTGCTTATCTTTGATAAGTTTAATTGTAAGAGAAAGGCTCGGCTCTCACAGTGGCTTAAAAACAAATGAAAAAATAATATACAAGAGGGTGGGGTGGTGTTTATAGAATAGAGATAATGCAACCGCAGCTACGGTTATTTTTTTTACAAAACAACCATCAAGTCAAAAATGAAAGAAAATTTACTTTTTTTATCTATAAAAAAAGTTATATGGTCGGCTCTGGGCCCCTAAATGGCGTGCCCCCCTCCCCCACTGTAGTTCCGCCCCTGCACTGTAGTAAATACAGTGCTGCACTGCTCATTGTTGTATTAAGGTAACTCAGGTAGAGGAGTCTCATTTATTTTTACCAAAGTAGGCGAGCTTGGTGTAGTCAGACTGGCTATGCTGTTGACCACATTACTTATTTACAAGCCGGGTTAGTAAAACAGATAAACTCTACTTTTCTTTATTCACACAGTGTGTTCTGATAGTGGATTTTGTCATACAACTATTCAGAATCACAAAATAATACTCGTGTAATGGAGTGGGAAAATTGATGACTTCTGATATTTACCAACATGCAAAGACAACTAGTTTCTAATCGTGAAACTTCCATAGAAAATAATTAGAGGCTATCTAGTGACTCAAAACGTATTTCCCTTGGGTCCATCATTTGTGTAAGAGAGGGCCCTAATAGATGGGCAACATCTGGCCCTTTGAAATTTACTTTCCATAGGGTCCATCAGTTGTTCGAGGCCTGATGCCATTTGAAACGTATTGGTCTAGCTTTGTGGCTTGAAAACAAAATCGCAATTATCAAATAGTATATATCAGAACATGCAGACATTAACTTAATTTAATGACTAGCATTTGTCCAACTCTACACATATATGAAAACATGTTACTTGTCAAATTGTAGCTTCATGGCATATGACACATTTGTTATAATAGATATAGCTGATTTTTAGATTTTTATTTAGACAAGGTGGCATAATGTCACTTTGCGCTTTTCTGTCAAACGATGCCAGTTTCTAGTAATAACAATACAAAAGTATTGTTTTTTTTACAGATATAATTTTACTGCTTACGTGATCTATCCCAGCGTTTTTGTTATTGTTATCAATAGCGATAACCTCCGATTTTATTTTTAAAAATGGGAAGTTCCCGATCAAAAAGGGGCGTTGATGGTACAGTTGTTATCTTTGTTTATGTGTAGATACGTTAACAGGGGCGGGTTTATTTAATGGCGACTTTCAATTTCAGGGGTTCTATTTCTTTTGGAAAGATAATCTGTTTGAAAAAAAAAATTAATTATTACTAGTTGACTTAACCTGTTAAAATATACATTTAAAAACTAAGTAATTAAACAATATCACTCTAAACAAGTAGCCGGGGGTTTTTATATATATATATATATATATATATATATATATATATATATATATATATATATATATATATATATATATATTTATATATATATATATATATATATATATAATGTATATATATGTTGTCTTTAATAGTTACTGGTTTATCTAATGCTGTTTTGTGAACCTCTTTTTGGTATGCTAGCATATCATATCAATCTATATATATAAAGCAAAGTGGTCAAGTGCCCGATAGGGCACTTCCCGGCGCCGCAGGCGCGTCAAATTTAGCACGATGGTGCCTTCGGGCGATAGAACACGAAGGCCGGTGACGGTTTGCCGAAAAGCATACGGACAGGGGGTCAAAACTGACCTCGACTGACCGGCGCCTTATATGGGCTATATTACGAAAAAAAATTTCCTCCGACGACCCCCCTTGATATTTTGTGAGGTGGTAGAAGAACACCTGGGGGTGTCACAAAAAACTCGGCATATCTGGGAAAACTTCGTAAAGCGGTCAAAACTGACCAGTTGTATTTCCCTATATAATCTTTGTATTTTATTGGAAAAACAGGGAATTTTCAACACACGTTTTAGGTTACTCAACCTCTGTACATCATGCTAATGTTTTGCATACACTTCTATGGATGACTAGGCCGTATGGAAAATCTGTTGGTCAGACTCAAAGCCCTCGAGCAGGGCTAAAAGATGACCGCGAGTGAAATTCTCCTTATATGAGATATATATATATAAATAAATTGACGAACGATCCCCTTAATATTATTTGAGGTCGTAGACCGACCCTGGAGGGTAACAAAAAAACGTTATTCCCGTCGGAAAAAGCCATTGTAGTCGTTAAATATGTTCATATCATATTTTCTTATATAAGCATAGTAACTGTTTTTAAAAAAAGTAAACAAAAAAATACGTCATTTGGTCTATTTTCAAGGAAGGTAACCTTTTTAATAATTATTTTTCAAATAATTGTATACTATTTTAAACAGAAAACGACAAAGTATAGCATTTTTTTTTTTTTAAAAATAAGTTTTTAATTAATTTACGTATAAAAATTAAATAAAAAATTAATTGTAAAAGTCAATGTAATATAAATTTTGAGATATACTGTTAATGGAACCTCTGTATTTCTAATTCTATTTTAGTTATAAATTGCGTACTTTCAAATTTTTGCTCTGAAAGCGAATGTTAAACAACATACAACATCTTCTCTAAAATAATAAATTACTGTTTAAATTTAAGCTCTCCACACCTCATCCATCACCAAATAATTAGTATTCAAATTATCAAATGTTTTTGAAAACCTAAGCGAAGCTAGGCAGTATGCCTAGTTATTTTATAAATATAAGTTGCATATAATGTATAGTAGAACTAGTCCAAAAGGAGGCGTTAGGAACACGGCCATCTTGGTGGGGGGGGGGGGGGGGGAGGGTCTGAATTTAAATAGCAGCAGATCATACTGATGTGTATGATGCAGTAAACAGTGTAAATATTTAATAATACTAGATCAGTTTCTTGGTAATGTAAACTTTTACAATAAGCCCTTCTTCCTTTGTGAGAACAACAGTGTGTATTTGTTCTACAAACACATATAACATAATGGCAATTGCTATTAAACCTAAATAAAATATATTATAATGTCAAATGTTGGTTTTAACGATATAACAAGAACAGAAACCTGCCTTAGTAATTGTTACCTGAATGCTATTGTTTTTCTTTATCACGTGTGTGTTTTTTTTTTTAATTTACGCATACCCACTTCACCCCCAAACATCATGTGATGACGCAAGATTACGTCAGACATGTTTAGCAGATATAGGTTAGCAGAAATAGACTATAGGCCTAGTTGGTTGGTTAGAGAGGCCAATGGGTGCACAGGGCTGACCGGTCACGTGGGACGGTCAGCTGACCAGTGAAGCGTGGGCCACTGTTAGGCCGGAGATCATGATCAGTTAGCGTGGGCAGTTGATAGGTAGCTAGCGAAGAGTAGAGAAGGTGTTAGGAAGCGGTCGGAGACGATCGCAATATGTAGAGCTAGAGAACAGTTAGTGTTAGGATTGATCATGGGAGTGTGTAGTTAGTAGTATAGTGAACAGTTAGTAGTAGAAGTAAACAGTAGAGAGTATAGATTAGACTAGTTAGAAAGACCTGATTATATACATTTGAATAAAGAACAATTATAGTTGAACTTGAACGTGTTTTGTTGGATTCGTGACGCCCTCTTAAAATCCCCACCCTCACAACTGGTGGTAACCACCATCAAAACACCTGTACCCTCACACATCACTTATGCGAGAATTTAATGTAGCTAAGTTCCCATTTAGACGTTACTTCGGGCAAGTATCCATTCGGGCATTTGTCGCATTCGGGCAAGTGTCCATTCGGGTGTTTGTCGCATTCGGGCAAGTGTCCATTCGGGCATTTGTCGC